GTGTTCAAGGCAGCAGAGCTAGGGGTGTAGGGACGTCACGTGGAAGGAGTTAAACTCTGTTTAAAAAAGAAACCGTTCATCTATTTCAATTAATAAAATAGTGTGTAACGGTGTTGAACTAACTGGCTGTTCTTTGGCGAACGTTTTTAACGAGCACTTTGTGAATATTAGAAGCGGGATTGACTGTAAAGTCTTATTCTTTTTTGTTTGATTATAGAAACAGCCGCTCAATTTTTTTAGATCCTGTTGTAGAACCTTAGGTCATTAACGTGATTTTACAACTTAAGGGTAGTGTAGCTTGTGACGTTGATGGTTTACAAATAAAGCCTGTTAAGTATATTGTATATATTAGCGGCAGTGCTAAAGCATACATTTAATGTTTCTTTGGTTACTGGTGTTTTTCCTAAACGAATGCAAATAGTAAAGTGTCAGTACTTCACAAAAAGGGTAATTACAGACCGATTTCTATATTGTGAGTATTTTCTAAAGCACTTCAAAAGGTACTTCACACACGTCTAACTAATTTTCACCTAAGCATAACTGCTTCGCAGTTTGGTTTTATAAAGCATAAATCTACAGAGGCTGCCCTACTCGCCCAGAAAGAAATCATCTCGCAGAATCTCAAAGAAAAAAAAAACTGTTCTTGGAGCATTCACAGACTTCACACTTTTGAATGCCTCAATCATGAAATTTTACTGACAAAATTGGATACATATTGGATTCGAGGGCATGCTTTACAATTAGTGAAGTCTAACCTAGAGCATCGAATCCAATAAGCTTATATTGATGAATATTCGTCAAGTTCCAAGCGTATTCTTACTGGTGTTCCACAGGGAAGTATATATTAGGTCCTTTTTTTTAAGTATTTGCGTTAATGATATTGTGAATATTAACTCTGATGCAACATTTATCAGCTATGCCTACGGCACTATTTGCTTTTTTCAGCTGGAAATGTCGATGTGCTATTTGACATGGCTAATCAGGTGATATCTGCATTAGCAATTTGGAGTCATATTATTTCACTACAAATCAAGGTCGAAAAAACAAAAGCAGGGCTTTTTTGCCCAAAACATAAGCTAGTCACAATTTACAGGAGATATCGTTTTGAACTCCACCAAAATACAGATTGTAAACTCTTTCGAGCACTTAAGTGTAATTTTTACCGAGAATATGTCATTAAATAGTCATGTCAACTACCTTATTGCTAAGCTGTCACAAGTAGTAGGTGTGATAAACCGCCACCGGTACATGTTACCAGCAAAGGTAAAATTATTAGTATACAATTCGTTATTTTACTCTCACATAAACTAGTATTGTAATTTAGTCTGGTGTACTACAACGTCAACGAATCTAAAAAAAATGCATTTGTTGCAACAAAAAAAAAGTGTTAAGGGCTATAGAAGACGTTTCATTCCTCTTCCACATACCTAGTTTATTTTAGTAGTTTCGCATTTTAAATATACATGCTCTATTTAGCTATAGCCCTGTCGCTAGTATAAAATTAGAACAAATTAGGGGTGAAAGGAAAAGATTCACGCGTGCTTTACCCGTCGTGCAGGAATGTTGGGAGGTGGTCACTGCAAGAACGAACTATGGCACACAAATGCTTAAACATACTATCCCAAAAATACTTAACCTACTTGAAGATAAAAGATTGGAATTCAGTACATTGTCTCTTAGAGAAATTCGACTAATTTTCTCCGCAAATAAATCTGTTAAACCTGTGTTACTTTTGGGGTCTCATAACTTCTGTCTGGAAATAGGTCACTTTCCTGTAATAGCCGATGATAAAATATGCTATGTTCGAAACACGCTTTTTTAAATTGTGGTTATCAAGATTAGTGGATTTTTTTTTTTCGTCGACTTGCCAAGGACTTGTAAAACTGTGCCATACAACCATACGTACGATGGAAATAAACTCTGTATTATTAAATTTAGTTGAAAGCACGTAATTCTGATCAGTACTCAAGGTGTGCGTGAGCGCAGCGCCACCCATTGCTTACAGTGCAGTTGTTTTTACAATTAATTTCATATTACTCACATCACTGACATTGTTTTATATTATCGCCATGTGTGCGTTTTATTATCTCTACTTCAGTTCGATTTAACTATGTATTTTAGTAAGGATAGTTTATTATACTTGGCCTTGAGATTGCCATCCTTCACCCAAGTGTTTCGAAATATCCATCTTCTATATATCTGAGATCAAGTTCCGCATCCCATCAAATAAACATGAATGAAGGAATATTGCCTATATTATTTACTTCTGCATTTTCTACCCCACAAACACTTTTCCCGAAAGCATACAAGTTGGAGATAGTCCGCCTCCCCCTTTGCTCCAAGCCCCGTGCAAAACCGACTAGGTGTGCAGGGGAGCCAGCGAGTCCCCGGAAAGGGGGGGGGGGCTAGGTTTGGCATTTCGGGAGGGGTTTCGACCCCCCAAACCCCCCCTCTGCCTACGCCACTGGTTCCTTGCATCACCAGGATCCCTGGGCGATGTGGCCATAAGTTACCGGATGCATAAAGCAACATTATCGGGGATCCTCCAGGAAACGCTGCCAGCCATCTGGGACTGCCTCTCCCCGTTAGTGCTGCAGCCACCCACATCACAACAGTGGGAAGAGATCCGAAGGAGTTCTGCGTCAAGTGGAACTTTCCTAACGCCATTGGATCAATAGATGGCAAGCACTTTGCGATCAGGTGCCCACCAAACTCTGGCTCAATATTTCACTACTACAAGAAATTCTACTCGATGGTGCTGCTCGCTGTTGTTGATGCCCACTACAGGTTTCGACTGGTGGACATTGGGGCTGCCGGACACCAGTCCGATGGCGGTGTGTTGAGAGAGTCTAACCTCGGAAAGGCGTTAGCTGCCAACACCCTCCAGATCCCTGTAATCGCAGAGCCTGCACCACCTCTGTGCTTCCTGGGGGATGAAGCCTTCCCGTTGAAAACGTACCTCATGCGCCTTTTCCCCGGAAGAGGCTTGGACTACCGAAAAAAGGTCTTCAACTACAGGCTCTCCCGGGGCAGGCGTACAGTAGAAAACGCCTTCGGAATACTTGTGTCTCGCTGGCGGGCGTTTCTGGCTCCCATGCATGGCACTGTTGAGCACTGTGAAAATATGATAAAAGCGGGAGTCTGCCTCCACAACTTCCTAACAAGGGATGAAGCCTACCGCCCTCCTGGATATGCTGACAGTGAAAGGAGGGGTGCCCGTGTGGATGGTCAGTGGCGAGCTGACATTTTGAATGTTGGTGTAAACAGGAGCCTAGGTGGCAACAGCAGCCCTGCAGCAATCAGCATCAGGGACCAGCTGGCAGACCACTTCATCTCCCCTACGGGAGCCATCCCGTGGCAACACGACATAGTGACGAGGGAGTAGACGACGACACAAGGTTGTTATCAATGCTGTTCAATTTTTTTCTTTCCTTGCAAATAAATTGTATATATTTTCTCTGCTCTGCTTGCTTAACAGGGTTGACCGGCAAAATATATTTCGCAATCCCTCGTGGTTTTCACCTTCAAAGAGCTTACCTGCCTACCTTGGTGAATTTCGTTGTACAGGGGAGAGCGAGGTAATTGGCACAAGCGAGGAATATTGGCCATCCATGTTTTTCGCTTGCCACTGAGATACAAGCACGCATACCAAATGATTGGCTTCTTATTAAAGGAGCTGTGCAACGATATTCAGTTGGAATGTTTTTCACTATACACAAGCTTACTGGCACTAGTGGAGGTCAAGGATACTCGCACGCAACTCCGCTGGCCAAGAAACTCCTTTGTTGCGGTGTAATTTCAAGGACAAAAGCGATCATTTTCATTCAATCTCTCCTTTGCAAAATTTCATGACGTAACGGGGCGTCGCAGTACACCCAAGTGACGATATTTGAATGCTGTTCATAGATTGGACCCGAGCATTGCGTGGGCACTCGATTTGGGCTCGTGATAATTACTAGCTCGAGAAGCATTCGGGTAGTGGCCCGTGTCCAATCGCTGCAACGACGACAATAGCCGAGCCATAACAATATCTGGAACTCAGCGCGTGCCGTGTGCTTTGCCAACCCCAGCGCGTGGCTATGATCTACATTGGCGGCATATAATCGGCTCCAGATCACGTGGCCGCTTCTTTTGGCTGCGAGTTGAGGGGGTGAACGCTGCTCGTTTTTCTTTAATTTTTTTTCTGGGACTTCTATTGCGTGGGGTGAAAAACGAACGCGTGTTTCATAGGTCATTAATGTCAGGGATCCGTTCTAAGCGGTATTTGTGCAAAGTACAAAAATTGTTGCACAGCTCCTTTAAGTGAACCCGCAGGAATGTAGTAGTGGCTCACTTGGAAAAAAGGAAAGCTTGCGTATTAATTACAAAAGTCGGGTTTAATCTTTTCATTTACACCACAAAGGAGTAAAATAACATTCTAGATGTACTTTCGATAAGCCTGCTTTTCTACTTGCATTTTTCTCGGAAATATAAACAGGTTTCGAGCAATGCGTGCCACCCACGAAGCGAATGTAATGGGTAGAAAGCATGTTTGATTAACGGTATTAGCGCAGGCTGTGTGTCTGAGTAGCAGATGATGCTATTATGTGCACTAGACATTTTGCTAATTTACACAAGCACCAAAGATCATGCCGGGTTTGCAGGTACACTCGCTGCGCAAGGTATCGTCCACACTCGTGTGTACCTACATTCCAAGCCACTTCCTTGACGCTTGGGGTAAATTTGAAAAATGTCTGTAGGTGTTCTTTCAAGCTATTTTATGTCATAGGCATCCCTGCAGCTTGCCTCCAAGAACAAATTCTGAAGTATTGAACTAGAGAGTTAATAATATTCAGATTAACATAAACTGCTTCACAGATTTTTTTTTTTTCTAACGATGTAGTAGAATTGCATAAGCAGAGATTGCTCTTCGAAAATGTAGTTCATATTAACAGAATGTGTATATTATCAAAACATGAGTGGACACGTGTGCCTTCAGATGCACAAAGGTCGGGGGCGTTTTATTTCTGCTGAAATTTACATTCATACTCATACACAATCTGCATAACACAAGCCCTGAATTGGGCACTGGTGACCTCGTCCCAACGATCTAGAGATTGTGCTACAGAGTAGGCAAACGCCTCGTTTTGTGTCATTTTAGTCCTTAAATGATTTAGATGTTCTCTCTCCATTGTGTAAACCTCCCTCCTACGTGCAAAATGGGGGGGGGGGGGGGGGGGGGTCCTGGGCACCTTTGTGACTGGCCCGATGACCTCCTCGAGGTGCTTGATGTTGATACAACCGAGGTGGACGGCGTGGCTGGGACAGGAGCCTCGGGGCTGCACTGCAGCTCTTCTTGGGCAGGCTCGAAGTCAGTGGGAATGGTCGAGTCGTCAGGAGAAGATTCCACCATTTCCATTAATAGACACTGTGCTGTGTCGCCCACAGGTGGTGCCTTTACGTTGGTGGTTGCCCTGCAAGTGGGATTAACATATGGGAGAAAAATTTAGTTTGACAGCAAATAAGGACTCATGTTTTGTTTACATACTTCCTGGGTCGGATATGTTTATCGTAAAACGACATCATTTCCAGGAAGGCCCATTGTTTTTTCCGGACGAAGCCACTGCCACTCCTTGTGGCAGCTTCAATGGCGCGGACCTCCCGAACATACCTGTCGCGTACACGCTTCCACGCTTTTTGTGCGTCCTCACCTGAAATAAATATGTCGAATTCAATTCTGCCAAGTGCAGACGTGATACAAAAATAAAATGCTGAACAAGTTGCCATGTCAGGTAAGCCGCTTGCACTGCTTTTCTGTTTGAAGTCCTAAACAACTAGAGCGCCTCAATGTCTTTCTGTTTGGATGATGCCATCGTTTTTAGTACCCGATGGCGACAGCACGCGCTCACAGGGAAAATACAAAGAAATCGCAGGAAGCAAAATGTCGCCGTAGCTACACCGTGGCCGTAGCACAGTCAGCGCCACGCGCGCGTGCAGGGACACGCTCTTTTGCGCGCTTCAACACACACACACACACACACGAAAAAAAAGCGTTCGAAACAAAATGGCCAGATGTCGTCACGCCAAGCAAAGCGCACATGAAGGCACCCTAGTCAACTTACCGGACTTCATGCCGCAGGCAATGCCCACGGACTCCCAGGCATTCTTTTTTCGCTTGGAATCCCTGTACTCTAGAGAACCGACGTCATAAAGACACTCGCGCTCTCTCACCGCTTCAATGAGCCGCTCAACCTCGTCCGTCGTCCGATCGCTCGGTTCGCACTCCGCGGCACCTCCGTTCGCCATTTTTCTTTCCAACTGACGCTCGCGCGAGGAATTCTGGGTGACGACCGTCGTCGGCCGACGCCGAGATTCGAGCAGCGCCTACCTCGACGTGAGCTTCGCCGGCGCGCGCCGAGGCGCGTTATGTTGCGAGGCGGTCCACTTGTGTTTAGAGTATGAAGTCTCCTTTCGCAGCTACGTCACGCAACGCGCTCGGGAGCTCGCGCCCGTCGACGTTACGTTGGAGTATAAACAGCCCGCCTCGACGTGAGCTTCGCTGGCGCGCGCCGGGGCGCGTTACGTTGCGAGGCGTTCCACCTGTCGTCAGAGTATAAACTGTCCTTTCGTAGCAACGTCAGGCCACGCGGTTGGGCGCGCGCGCCCGTCGACGTTACGTTGGAGTATAAACAGCCCTTTACTTTCTGCTGGGCAACCAGGCGTTCGTTTATAATAATCTCATCCAATTCCGACCATACCGGTTTAAAAGTCACCCGTTAAGCGCTGTTTCAAATAACGGTGGGTGCCGCCATTACTTTCGGTGCACACAGTCGCGTTGCCACGGAAATGTCATGGCAACGCGGTTGTTTGCACCGAAATTAATGGCGGCGCCCGCTCACTAGGCTTCCCATTGGTCAAGAAATGTTCGTTGCGGCTCGTGGCCACGCCTACTTCCGTTACACTTCGCTCCATGCATTGTAGAGTAACTGTATATGCTCCGCTTGCGGAGCAGAGTACCGCAATGGTGCCATTCTGGAGCCAAGCAATGCGGGAAGCCAAGGCCGGTTTTTGCAGGGGCACGAAGGCGCAGACGCGAGGCTGCGTGCTGCGGCGTGCCGCGGCGCGCTGCGGAAGGAAAATAGTGCGGCGTGCGGCGACGAGCCGCGTATGCGCCGTGATCGTTGTCCCGTCGTTTCCTGTCTCCCTCTCACAAAAAGCGCACCCGTGTACGCACCCGCGGGTCCCACGGGTCGCGTGTGAAGTGAAGTCGTCAAGTCGCTGTTGCTGGGACGCAGATAGCGTCGTGAACCCGCTGTCTGCCCAACTTTTGGAGGACCTTTCCCCTCGAGCGATCACAAGAAGCAAAAGAACGCAGGCCAGCTTATTTTCCTTCTGTGTTTAATCGAAGAGCACGTGCCGCAGCTCAACCTGTGACTTTTTTTTTTTCTTTTTTTCAGGAGACAGTTTATCTGATATTATGTAGACGGAGCAGTGCTTTACCTTCGTGTGCTCAATTATATGCGAATCTGAGGAATGTCGAGCACCCCCACTATCATGCTAAAATAGTGCACAACTTTTTTTTCTTTTTTATTAGAAGTTTTTGCCACTTCACAAATTCGAGACGCCCGAATCGAGAGCTCTTGGAGACCGGAGTTTTCGCATGCTTTCAAGTTGCGCTAAATTTTGAATTCGCTTGAATCGCAAACATTAGGGGCTCGCGAATAATAAATGTTAGACGGTGCTCCAATCTTTGGTAGATGTCGCAAGGTGCAAACTGCCTAATATAAAAAAAAAGCCCACCGGCGTTCCACTTTCATTGCGGATAAGTCTTTGAAAACGCAGTCCAATTCGTTGCAGGGACCAGAATGATGCCGAGATTGGCTGTTTTCCTATTGACAAGTATATTCCGCCCCGAGCATAAGGTGATAAAGCTCTGTCTACTTTCCAGTGTGTGACACCAACCTAAATCTCGCTTTCTCTACTATTTTGAACATTTTGCTGAACCTATTAAACTGTTTTACTACCACCGGCAAGGTCCCTTGAAGAAATTGCGAATAGGCACAGCACTAATAGTCTCTGAAACATGTTTATCCACACAACGGCCTGCAGAAATCTTTTGGGGTATTGTAAGAGGGCAGGCAATGATTAAAAATGATCTCCTTCCCATACAAAAAAGCCAGACGAGGCGGCGTCTCACATCGGGTCTCGCCGTCGGAATCCGGTACAAGCTCTTGCCGCTGTCTGCGCGATTTGTGCACTTGGTAACACTACAGCCTGTCATTTTCACGGGGCTCTTTCTACGCGCATGCAAAATTTAATGCGGTAAACGACGTAGCGGCTGACGAAAACGCCGTCTTCCCGCTTTCAAACGAGAGCTCGCCGACTCGCCAAGATGGCCGAATGTGCGGTCGCGTATCGGTATCGCGTATCACTCCGCGAGAGCCGCAGACGCGGGAAACGCGATCGTCGCCTGTGTCGTCTGCTTCACATACCCTCAAAACGAATGTTTCAAAACATCGCTCGCGTTATAAAAAACGGGACTGTTCTGTACCCAGTTGATACACATAATGTTCAATGACTTAGGAAGCTTTCGGTTTGTTCGATTTTGGTCTAGGATCTATATTTTGCGAACGCAAAGCGGAAAATATGTTCTCCCCGAAACTCGGCGCTCTGGAAGGCCGCTTTCCCGCACGAAGTTGGGCTCCAGTTCTGCGCACGTGACCACTCCTCCGCCAACACGGATATGGCGGCGAAAGGAAAAGGAACGCGCTACTCTGGCTCTGCAAGCAGAGCCTATACAGTTACTCTAATGCATTGGGGATAGGGACGCCACCTCCTGCCCATTATAACCTCCTTGGTTTTCACCAGATTCGACCGGTTCGACTTTGTGGACAGTGTGGGCAGACCTTGATACAAGCAGTCTTGTACACGTTACTAAAAAAAAGTAATCGATTACAATTACTATTACTCTTTGCTAAAAAGTATTCGATTATATTACTTAATTACTCGACGGCAAAAGTAATTGGACATTACTTAAAGAAGTAATCGTTACTTTTCCGATTACTTTCTTGTGTGAAGACACATCTTTAGCGCTCATAACAATGAACTACTTCCAACCAATATTTCACATCTGCACAAGTATTGAAGAAGAAAAACTGGCTCCCTCTTCGTGGTCGCTGCACCTTCACAATGCGGACACAAGCATAGAATTCGTTTGAAGACGTTTAATGATTTGGGCGTTGTGTGTGTGTGTGTGGGGGGGGGGGGGGGGGGGGGAGCGGAGGGGGCTCTAGATCTTATTAAGCTTGAGCAAGGGTTGTCGCTCAAAGTTTGCGTCGCTCATTTTATTATTCACAAGTGGATGAGCTCGCATGTTATACAAAAGAGCAGCAGCTCCAGGATTTGAAACGGATCATGTGTAGTATCCATTAGCGGAAGAGATCGCCCCGACCACTTCTCAACTCGAAACATTGCTTGTCACAAAGACCACGTAGGGGAAATTGGGAAATATTTCAACTGCCTTTGTTATATTTTGCATCCGCTTTAGGCATTCTTCGGTTCTGGATCTCCTACGGGCTGCGAGTAGGTACCCTAGACAGGATTTTTTTTATTTTTTTTTATTTCTGTGTGTGTGTGCGTGAGGGGGCTAGTTTGAACGAAGGACTCACAAAGCTACATTCTGCTTCCTCAAACTTCGCCCTGAATGGCCTTTGTCACGCACTGTGGCTTCCCTGAATCTTCCCACTCCCAGTCCCAGTTCGAAAAAAAAAAAACGGACATTTTACAGAAACTGTACATAGAAAGAGATTGTCCTCGTTTCCTACAGATCCGCAAAAATCTTTCTTTTGTTAAAAAAAAAAAAAGCAAATTGTATTTTTGTCATTTCATAAAAAAAAGGCGTGTGGGGGGGGGGGGGGGGGGTCCCGTGGACAAATTGTAACGGTTACAAGTAATTTTATTACTTCAAAAAGTAATTAGATTACTTGTGTGATTAGTGCCTAATAAAAGTAATCAACTGATTACAAAATTACTCCAAAAAGTAATCGATTACAAGTAATTTGATTACTTGTAATGCGTACGGTACAAGTCTGGATACAAGCATGTCTAGGTTTGGAGAATTTTGTTTTTTATGCAAAGGGTTATTTTATTTTGTGAACAGCTGCAATTAAAAGAGAAATTCTAATCACTGAAGAAGTTAATAACTTAATTTTTAGTACTTTATTGGCTGAAATAGCCAATCATCGCCGCAGTTAATTAATCTCTTAGCCATCACAATCCAATCCGAAGCTAACTGGCTAGCCTGTCGCGCATGCGCACACGAGTCGAACCTCAATACAAGGTTCGTCGAACTTTCCACTCAAAGTTCGAAAAAGTCGAACCAGGTCGAACTGAAACCGCGGCCGGTTCTCGACACCCCTAACCATAACTGAGTCGCAGCTTCCACGGTTTGAGTCATAACCAGCAATGCAGTTTGGCATACAGGGGCCTTAGTTTGGCACTACACGTTGCGTCATCTAGCGGCCGCAAAATAAAACAAATTAAGTAGGCATGGGCGGCCCGGGGGTCCGGGTCGCGGGGACTGTGGTGACTGTGGGCGGGCGCCTTTAGAAGCCACGGGTGAACGTGGCATTTCGGATCGGCGTGAGCCTTTTTGGAACCGTTTTTCGTAAAAGTAAGTCTCAACTTCACGTCTCTATGGCCTCACCGGGTTCCTGTGACGTCTCGCCTACTCCTAGAGTTTCCCCCCAAAATAAACGTCGCGACTGCTGCGTGAAAGACTGCCACCGTCGCGAAGGTGACTCAAGCGTCAAACTTTACCGCTTCCCTTCAAGATCTTGGGAAGCGACGTGGCGACAAAGTGGATTACTGCAGTGCGACGCATCAAGTAAGTGAATTTTACATTAATTGTTGAAGTGAACGAAAATAGATGTAGATCGAGGTTTGGAAAGTGGTCTGACAAACTCGTTTCGAAAGCTACTCGGCAAAAGAACATATTTATACAAGTTGTTTTACGAGTCTCTCGGACAGCCACATAGAGAAATACGGAAGACAAAATCGGGCCGATTGTTGCTTCGCTGTGAAGTCGAAAATCAGGCGATCAAGTCTTCAAGCGGAATTCCCGTGGGCCCGTTCCGTCACTCGTAGTTGTACCCAGTTGTGGGTCCATATCACATGAGCGAATGACGTTTTAGCGAACAGTGACATCTGAGCGAATCGACATTTTAGCGAATAACGGGAGCGCGCGTTAACCCATCCGCCGCTCTGCGCACGCCGCTTTGCGGCGACAGTCTGCGGTGGCTCATTAC